AATCAAATAAATAATAATCATCATCATCAAAGAATCAAATACTTCAGCTATTCACATTTATAGCATTTATTTGTAAGCATTTAATTCAGGCACCCTAGTTATATAAGTATGAATTTAAATATTTAAAATACTTTCTTATTAAAATATAGGAAAGGTGTCATACAACTCATAAAATAATTCTGTTACCTGGTTACTCAAGTAAATGTCTCATCAGAGGCCATATTTTTGGGGAAGAATATTAAGATGTTATTTGAATTGCACTAGGGCCTGTTGCTTCACTGTTCAGCTTCACTGTCTTCATTAGAGTGCAGCAGGACTGTATTTGAGTTAACACATTTTAAACCTTCATTAGAAAGAAAATTAAATCTAGAAAAAGTAGCAGAGTTAAATTTAATCCTAGTTCTATAGTTCACATAAAGAATGAGGCATAAATGACAGCAAAAGAGAAAGGGACAATTCTAAAGCTGTTGTAAGGGGCTGCCATTTATTCCTTCAAAATTTGTGCACCCTTAGCTCTGAGAGGCATTTTGGAAACACTTATCTGGTGTTTCACTCCCTTACCCTTGAGTACTTCCCAGGCACAACATTGCAAGATTGTCTTACCCTGAGAAGAGGGTAAGAGCCCCATGAGAAGAGCCCCACAGCCCCAATTTACATTCTGAGCTAACTTTGTGTCCTACCATGGATGTGTTTTGGAAAAACACAGTGAACAAGTTCATGCCATAGATCAAGTCAGGCACAGCTCAGGTCAGGTGAGCTATGACTTCTGTCCTTTTTCAAGCAAGGAGTTGCTGGCACAACTTTTCTTCATGTATGCCATGCTGCAGTCCCTCTGGCTACAATTCTGTCAGCACTTATCCTTAACACACTCATCCAAGACCACACTGAGTCCTAGGACTTCCTCATCAACACTCATAGGCCCAGTCAAAGATTGGTCCATGGCCCATGGAGAAGAAGCATTGGCAAGGGTCCCGTTTTCATTTCCTCAGACCACCACTCCTCTAGTAAGTGCATCCCTGGCCATCATGCACAAGATCTGTAAGTATCTTCAGGGTGTGCTGAGTGCTATTGGGGTTGTTTTGCCCCTTGGTTCTCTTGTGTTGTTGTTTTTCTTTCACATTATTTTTTATTTATTTATTTTGTACTTCAGTCTCCTTCCTTTTTTAATTTTTCATCCACTCTACTTATTATTTTTTCTCTTTCTGTAATCCACCTTTGTTTTTTTGTTGTTGGTTTGGTTGGTTGGTTGTGTTTGTTGTTGTTGTTGTTTTAAATAGGGAATTGTTAAGTTACCTAGAGCTGGTTTGGTTTCTCTGTGATAGAGAAAAATCAATAGGAGCAATGGCCATGAGAGGAAGGGGTGCTGTCCCTGTACATTTCATCTGTGTCAGTGAGAGGGCTCAGCAATACTGCTCCTGCATCACATTCTGCAGCTCCAGGCCTCTGCCAGAGGTGGAGATTGTGCCCACCTCTTATGCCAACACACTGCACCAACAGTTCCAACACTGTACTGTCTCTGCTGCCACCCTCCCGTGCCCCAAAGTGTGGGGCCACAGCAGGGCACTACTGCTCACCACAGCATACAGACATGGAGAGACAGCTTGCACAAACCCAAGGCTGACAAAATGTCTCTTTGGAACCCACAGCTAGTCTTTGGATGGGGACAGACAAACTTGAGCACATTTGTTGTGTGCTATTGACTGTAACCTGAAAGCATGCTTTACGGAAGACTAGGAAGTACTGTTACAAATTTCATATAATGTATGTACACCAAAATAAGTAAATAAGCAGACAAATAAACAAATCTCAGTATCAGGTAATGAAGCTTAAAAACAGAAGGTGTCAAACTAAAAGCACTAGTGATGTGCTATTGACTAGAGGCTTCTGTGGCAAAAAGCCATATGAAATTAAGAAAGTTTAGAAAAGAGACGTACTTAATGTATGCTATTTCTTCTTCCTTGTGGCTTCAGTTTGTAGTAAGTGATATATTAAAGTTTATTTCTAATATAGCTCTAACTGCTAAACATATCACATAGATGTAATTTGCTATGCCAAATTTCCACATAAACAGTAAATGCTAAATTCACTGTGGAAACCAAGATATCCTTTGTTATCCTAATACATGCAGGCAAATTATAAAGAACTGTAAATATTTTTAAATCTCTTCCTTTGTGCAATCACTGCCTGCAGTTCTATATATTTCTGTGGTAATACTGAGTAAAAAGTAGGAAACAATCATATATAGAAACCTGCTTGGAATATTAACTGTGAAAGAAACCACTGTGAAGACAATATAGTCTGCTGGATCAAACTTGTACCAGATTATAACAGAGCCTTTTTAGCCATATCACAGCTACCAAATTGCTAAAATCCTATTTTGCCTATCTGGAGACAATATTGTCCCCACCAGGCCTTGCCTCCTCATCAGCTCTTAGCTGCAGAATGCTTCCAGTGCTTCCCATGTGCCAACATAATTGCCTGTACATAATTTCTCCATAACTCAATCTTGTAGAGATGATGCAGCTTAGGATCTGGGCAAATATTAGCATAACAAAAGCCCCTCCACACCAATGCCTAATCTTTTAATACAAGTTTCTGCTGTACTAAAAAAGTAGCACTGAGTCCAATTCAAATTCCATTAAGAGTCAATCCCAGCTTCACTGAGAGATGACCTGGGCCCCCAGGATAAAAGACTGTTTTGTGAAGTCAGTGGCTTCTCTTCCTGACTGAAAAATAAGTGATGATTTTTTGTTTTGTTCTGTTTTTTGTTTTGCTTTCTCAAAAACTGAAAATTTAACTACAAGGGTTAAAGAAACAGTTGCTGAATTCTTTGTATAACCATTTCTGATACTTGCATACAATGTGCACTTCAAATTGCTGGAGGAATGCATTTATTATGAGCTTATATGGTCACTTCACACCATCTATAGCTGTTTGGTAGGATGTGTAATTCTAAATGCATTCAGTGCAAACAGATTAAGCGTTATTACCTCTTGAATTTATTCTGATGATAAAAGAATAACATAAAATTATATGGGGAAAAAATGTTCCAAAACTATAAAAAGTAAATGAATGAATCCTTAACATTAAACCACCAACATTCCTTCTCATTATATTTCACTAGAGATATCTCTTCTGCAAATAAATTCTTTCCATTTCAAGTAATATGCCACATTCATTCTTTTTAAACAGTGAAAATAGAGCAGAAAGGATAATGAAAGGTCTGCTTGTCTCTCTGAGGACAGTTTTTTGACATATTCCTTAACTGAGCTAATCAGGGAGTTACAGGTGTTCACCTTAAAGTATGTTTTGCATGCTCTTGTTCAAGAACAAGAACATTCCTGAACAAGAACAAGAACATTTTCATAAGTTATAAAGTCTTTATACAGAAGCATTTCAGGTCCTAATTCAAATACCAGTGAAATTGATGGCCACTGAAGAGTATTGTTAAGTGGAATCAAATGATTTACTGAACTGTCTGGGAAAAATAAATAAATTACAGTTACGATGAGAAGAAGAGAAGAGAAGAGAAGAGAAGAGAAGAGAAGAGAAGAGAAGAGAAGAGAAGAGAAGAGAAGAGAAAGAGAAGAGAAGAGAGAAGAGAAGAGAAGAGAAGAGAAGAGAAGAGAAGAGAAGAGAAGAGAAGAGAAGAGAAGAGAGAGGAAGAGAAGAGAAGAGAAGAGAAGAGAAGAGAAGAGAAGAGAAGAGAAGAGAAGAGAAGAGAAGAGAAGAGAAGAGAAGAGAAGAGAAGAGAAGAGAAGAGAAGAGAAGAGAAGAGAAGAGAAGAGAAGAGAAGAGAAGAGAAGAGAAGAGAAGAGAAGAGAAGAGAAGAGAAGAGAAGAGAAGAGAAGAGAAGAGAAGAGAAGAGAAGAGAAGAGAAGAGAAGAGAAGAGAAGAGAAGAGAAGAGAAGAGAAGAGAAGAGAAGAGAAGAGAAGAGAAGAGAAGAGAAGAGAAGACTAAAAGTTTTGAGGAAACTTTACTATAAGTTTGCAGATATGTCAGTTTACTTCATGCACTAATGTAACACAGATGTTTGGCTTAAAATCCCAAAAAAAAAAAAAAATGGTACTTCCTATGAATAAGGAATTTAACATTTTCATTTCTGTCTGAATAAAAGTGTTTAGATGGGGGGGTAGGATAATTTAATTCAGTTTAAGGTTGCCAATTATGCTGCCAGCTTAGGTCTTTCAGAGCCTGAAGCACAGTTCAACAGCTACCCAGTTTCTATAAATCACTTAAAAATCTGTTTAAATTAATTGTGAGGAAAAGTTTTGGGTCCAGGTCTTTGTTTCTTCCTAAACTGATAATTACTATATATGGATTTGTTCCTTTCTAGTTTTGTTGCCCTCCACCCCTTTTTCTTAAGTTCCAAAGAAGACAAAATGGATCATCTGAATAAAAAGTTTAAGACTGACTATTCCGATAGAACAGTTTGGTGCCTCCAAGTTCCCAGAGGGCTGCACAATTTCTGGCAGTCACCTCAGGTAACCTGGTGTTCTCTTAAGGCTCAAGCACACAAAGACACACACATACTCTCACACACACTTTCCCAGCAAGAAGAAATAAATCTATTGAAAATCACCCTGTGCTTTCCTTGATTTAAGCTGCTGGCTGACCATTGACATACCCCTGTGGCTTGGCATTTAGGACCTAAATCTTTCCTCTAATACACAGGCTGTATTTCAATACACAGGTTCTGGAATGGCTTTGGGTTATCTCAGAGGTACAGACGACAGGACTAAATTCCAGTTCCTGCTTCCAGCATCCTGGAAGTTGGAGCCACAGGCATACCCATGTCCAGAAACACTTTAACTTCAGTTAGTACAAGACATGCCTTCAGTCAGTGAGGGAAGGAGACCCATGGGTGAAACACAGGTTGGATTGGGGGGATTGAAAACCAGGGATAGCTCATCAGAGGGGTGTCTTACCTTTCGTGCCAGCACTGGCTAGCTTTAGCCCAAGACACAGAGGACTGGGAAGGGCAGCCCAGCTTTCCTACCTGTCAGCACTGAGGGCTGTGAGTGTGAAGACAGAGACACCGACAGAGGTGAGCTGGATGGCAGGGATGATCTTGCAGCCCACCTCCCCAAAGAGCCACTCCTCGGAGAAGTAGCGGGAGGCATCCACTGGCACACAGGTCACCAGCAGCAGCAGGTCACCAGCAGCAAGGCTGGATATGAAGATGTTGGGCACGCTCCTCATGGCACTGTTGGAGATGAATATCTTCATGAGGGTGACATTTCCCAGCAAGCCCACAGTGATGATGAGCAGGTAAAGTGAAGGGATCACGCAGCGGACGGTGAACATGGCTGTGCCCTGCCCCGGGGGCAGCAGGACTGCATCTGGCACCAGCTGGGCACTCCCATTCCCCTCAAGGAACATAGCCGTGAGCTCGGACAGCAGCTCTGCCTCCAGCCTTCACCTCCCGGCAGAGTGGAGGTCTCCCGTGTAAATTGCAGTGGGAGTCACTGAGAATCTTCACCTCTCTGCAAGTCAACTAACTTTATTCCCTTTCCCTTCTGCCTTTCTTCCTCCCCGTTTTTCTCTGTCGGCGTTTGTCTGCTCAGAAATGTGAAGGGCACACCATTTGCCAGCAGAGTAGGGAGGGAAGGAAAGGAGAAAAAAAAAAAAAAAAAGAGAGAGAGAAAAAAAAAATGAAAAAAAAAAAAAGGGGGGGGGGAATAGGGAAAAAATGAAAAGAAAAAAAAAAAAAAGAGAGAGAGAGAACTACGCCTCTGCCTTTCAGCTCTGTGGACGAGCCCTTCCCCGGGGATGCAGGAGGGCGAGATCTTGAGCCTGGGGGTCAGCAGGAGGCATCACGACAGCAGCCTGCCCTCGCCCCTCCGGACTCCCCGGCCCCCCTGCGAGGTGCTGCCGCCCCCTGAGGCCGCGGCGGAGCCTCCGGAGCTGTCCAGTGGCGCTGGTGCTGCTGTCCCCGCGGTGGCGGCGAGCGGCGGCGGCTGGCTCCCTAGCCGGGGGCGAGGCGCAGAGCAAGCCCCGCTCCCTATTCCGCCGCCCCGATTTATACCCGGTGCTGGGAGGAGCCTCCCCGCCCTCCCGCCAGCGCTTGTGCCCTCGCCCCAGCCCCGAGACGCCGAGGAGGGCCCTGCGTGGAGGGGAGCCGCGGGGGTCCCCGTCATCGAGCGATGGGGATGTCCCCAGAGGGGCCGAAGAGGACGGTGCTCCCCGCCGCTGCCATCCCGGAGAGGCGCCGCATGGGGAAGCCGGAAAGCTGGCCACGGCGTCTGGTGGGAGGTGGGTTCGCCTTCGGGAAACCCGTCTTCCAAGCACGGATCTTCCCAGTTCACGCAGCTGAAACCACAGCACTGTGAAACGCAGGGTACCGAGGAGCAAGGGACTTGGAGATGAAGGGGATTTCTTCCTGTCACCCATATGTGGGTTCTGAACAGCTCCTACTGAAAGACATTAGCTACCTTTAAAGTTTTGGGGTTTACTCTACAAAGCTGTAACACGTATTAGTCTCAGATAGGGACATGGGGAGAGCTGATGAGATAATCTATCACTTTTTATGCAAATTGTATATCTGAATGGAGAATAACATTTTCTTCTATGAAGTGTCTCTTGCTTTTCATTGAGGTAGAATATTTTATTTCCTAGTGCATGTACATATATTGACTTTACAAACAGTTCCATCTATTTCCAGCAGAAGCCATGAATTCAGGTAGCAGTGCAACTATACTGCAAGACAAACAGTTCTACTGCACTCAAGTTTTCAAGATAAAGAGTTAACACAGAGGAATAACAGCATTTGCCAGTTACATTATCCATGGACTGATTTTGCCCTTCCTCTTCTCAGGAAGGAGGATGTATAAGTTTGCAGTGACCTTGCTTGCTCATATTATTGAAATAGTTCTCATGAAGCCCTAGAGGTTTATGACATGGTATATGGAAAAATAAAATGAATGCATGGATGGCTTGCTGAAGTGGGAGAATGAGTTTGAACACTAAAATACCAGAAGTGGTGTACCACGTATGTGCAGTTACACATGGCCTGCCTATGATTTATCTTCTGGAAAGTCAGTGCTAGTGCTTGGAAATAATCAGGCTAGAGACTTCACGTTTACTAGGCAGGTAATAGGAATTGTCATGGATCTCCCTCATAAGTGATTCCTGGCACTGACAGTGCTTTCCTCCACACTGTATTTAATTCATCTACACTCCCTCTGAGGCAGCCTTCCAATTTGCTTGGAAATTATCACAATTGCTAGCATCCTCTACTTTGTTGAGTGCACATAGACTTTGCTAGGAACATCAATATTCATGCTTCTGCAAGCAATCTGAACCATTCTTTTTGATTTCCATTGGTTGGATCCAATATTTGTCTTTAACCCTGTAAGCTCAGAACATGAGCTGTTGTCCTTCCACTTAATTATTTGAAAATGGGCTTGTATGTGAACAATCAGTGTAACTCCCATATCCCATAGTTCAAAGTCAACATGTATCCGATATCAATTTACCAAAACACCAGAAGGTGAGTCTTTTTACATGAATATCAACAGAAGAACAATTTAAAGGTTCTGTTGGCATAAACTTCACTTGCAGCTTGAATGGAGAAAAGTGAGACCCCTTGGGTTTTGTTGCACTGAAACTACACTCCCACTCCTGTCCTCCAGGAGAATTTCTTCTACCCAAGTAAGTTATACCTATCATCCAGACTGAAGTATGGAATTCCTTAGAATTAGGTAGAATTAGGAACATTTTCAGCAGGAATATACCTTACTGATTTTCACCAGCACTTGATTTTATCTACTCTGTGTTTTCAGAACTCTAAACAGCAAGGAAATAACATTTGGAGACTATGAGTGTCTCCAGCTCAAAGGAAACAGAAAGTTAGATTATGTTTCTAATGTCATTCAGCGGATGTCTGTGTAAAGGCAAGAGAATATACTGAAACAGCATGAATATAATTTCCTGCAGAGGCAAAAAGAAGAGGGAAAAGCTCCACAGACCCTGACATAAAACAGCCGGAATTTAGATCCTCACAGGCAAACTGTTCGTCATTCTCTTTTCAAACAAAAAAATCTATCCATCTCTTTGGATTTTGTTTCAGATTATAGTCTAGAGACAACTTCATCTTGCAGCTATGACACAAATTTTAGCACAAGAGCAAAGGAGAGAATGAGCAGTGCAGGTGTGTCTCCCTAGTGGGAAAGAATCTACGCACAAACTGAAATCAGGCAGCGCAGAGGGAGCATATCTGGGAGTGCAATATCACAGGGCAGGGACTGTGACAACTGGGAAACGTGGGAAGCAAATCTGCCTCATCAGTAATTCCCAAATGTAGGGATGCCAAAAGTCTGTGTAGGAATGAAGAACTCCACGCATCTCACAAACGCCCTCTACTGAGACGTGCTAACAGCAGGGAAAAGGGTTCCCTTCCCATGTATTCAGGCAGTTTGAGGCACTTTATACTCCAAGGGCTAATTGCGGATTTGCACATCAGAACAAACTTTGCATAGTCCCACAAAGATCCAAGTATATCTGCCACTAAAACTATCTACAGTAAGTAGCCTGTAATTAAGTATGCAGGCTTGCAAACTGAGTGAGAGAACTGTGTAGCTGCATTTAAATACAGCCTTGAAAGTGATCATGTTTAAAGCCTGATCATCAGTCACATGAAGAAGCAACAAGACAAAAAAAAACAAGCAACAACTATTATTTGACTTTAAAACACTGAGCATTAAGGACCAAACCTTTGGGAAAAGTTTCTAGCACCAGACATTAGACCAACAGTTGGGAAAAGTGCATTGTAGCGCAGTGAATTCTCCCAGACAGCTGGATATATAATAACCTTAAGTAAGTCATGTCTTCTTTCTTGTTACTTGAGTATAGCCTTTCTTTCTTTTTTGGGAGATTGTTTTGGCAGAGACTTCCATTACCTTCCAGCTTCTTGAGTCAGAGGATCTATTTAAGGAGTAAGAGGACATGATTTAAAGGGTAGAAATAGATCACTTTCTCTCTCCCCAGGTCTCAGAACAGATAACAGGCTTTTCCACTGCTTCTATGTGGGTAGCAGGAACTCAAGGAGCTCAAGCTGGACTTTGAGAGAGGATGCAGACAAAGATCTCCCTGGATATGTAATACTCTATACTGGGGAACCTTAAAGAAGGACAATGTTCAGCTTCTAAGGCTACATCTCTTAGCATAGAATCCAAACTCTAAGGTTAGACATCTAAACATCAAACTCCTATGATTCTTTTACTAGTAAAACAGCACTGAAAGTTAATCATCTCATAGGCAATGCCAACGGGTTCCCTAGGAGAAATGGATGTGGGAAGAACTACGCTAAAAAGAATTGTTGTGGTTTTGTGTAGGGAATGTCACAAACAGCGTGAGCTAGCAAACTGTTTATGTTCAAAAGAGAAATGCCAAATACAACTATGGCTGCCCAGGGACAAGCTCTAACCAGCAAGCTAATTAATAGAAATGATGTCAGATATATGCCATGCAGCCCTTTCTTCTCCTGAGACTCCAGATAATGGAAGAAGTAGCTACACTTTGTGTGAGCCAAGCTGTGTCTGCCAGTGGTATAGGCCTGGCAAAGCTGCAACAAACACCAATATGAAATCCCCTCTTTGTTGAGACTGGATTACTGGACAGGAGGACTGTAGAAAAGATAACAAGAGAGTGATTCTTTGTGCCTAAATCTTAACTTTTTAAAATATGCTTTTTCGGTTACAAATTTTGTATTCATTAAAAATAAAAAAAAATAAAAAATAATAAAAAAAAAAGCTGTGATGAAGAAACTTAACATATGACATGCACCTTCCCACCTTCCCAGACTGAGTGCCATGGTTAAGGCCATACCCTTCTGTAATAAACCCAGGCTCTCTTTTGTCCATCCTTCTCAGCTCTCAGCCTTTGCACCCTGACACATCCTGTAAGACGCATGTGCTCTTACCCAATGCTCTTCATGCTAAATATAAAACAGTCAGGAGGAAATGAGGAAGTAACTGATACCACGAGCCTCCTGGCCTAGCTGAAGGTGAGCCAGCCTCCATCTCAGGTCAGATTTGCAGTGGAGGCACTAATCTGTACCTAGCAGAGGCCTCCACTGGCCCTAAGCCTTGATGCACAGGGAACTCTGCAAACCAAAGCTGAGAGAAGAGGCTATTTTACAAGATTTAGCCATGAGAGCTCTCTTTTGGCAGACAAAATCTTATCTTACTAGTTTATTTTCAACAAGTCTTCTTTCATTGTAATTATTATTTCATAATGATAATATGTGTCATTACATTTAAACACACTAATAAAGCAATGAACTGGTTGCTTACTGTTAAAGTATTAGTTCATCCTTATCAAACTTCAAGCAAATGTGCATCTTTATGCGTGTATTTTTTTTATTTGTTTAACTGTGATTGTTCAGTAGAACTTAAACTCATTAAAAGGTTAAAGAGCACACTGCTGAGTTGCAACCTCAAGCTACAAGACAGGGTAAAGACACACTTAGAAACAAGGATACCAACATCTTCTGTCTTATCTGTGCGAAATAGACAACCAACAGGCAGCCTCTCCTGCAAATTCAAAACAACAACAACAAAAGATTTTCTGTCAAGAAAGTCCCAAAGAACTATTTGAGTTGCCTTAGCAGACAGTATTCAGAAGGCACAATGCCAGTTTACTCTACTCCCATCTCAAGTCATCCTCTTAATGCAGTGTTATGAAACACATTATTGAACACACAAGACAAAAGAAAAATCACTGCTTTCCGTTCCTCCTAGTGGGAAGATAATGGGCTTCCTGTACTTTAGCTCATACGACACGTGTTTGAACCACTTCTAAGAATCTGACAGATTTATTATGGACCCATTCATCACAGTCAGTGGGGTTCGAGCACAGACACCCATGGGGTTTGTATCAGGCTTATTTGACAGCCTCTCCAAAATTCATTTTTAATTTCAGTTCAGCTGTAGTCATTATGTGCTACCAGAACTAGAGCAGAGCATTGCCAGCTAACTCTTAGCATCTTTATCACAAGACAGATATCCAAGTTTCCGTATTTTTACTGCAGTCATACAAAGAATGATTTGATTGTCTTAGATTAGGTGACTCAGTCAGATAAGTAGTAATTTTATCTCCAACTAACAACAAAAAGCTATAGAGTAACATTTGTATAGTGCAGTTTTTTACCCAGAAAGTGTGCTTAAATATTGCTTCTATCTATAATGAAATCAAAATCATCCTAACCAAATGTAGTGTTTACTGAAGATTCATGTTCATGGATTAACATGAAAATAATGGCTACTATATATAAAGCATAATAAAAAGCATTGCAAGATCTATCTCAGCTTAGAAACTAGTAGATTTCTCCATTACTGCTTTTTTAAACATTGCTTAAAGAGGCAAAAAAAAATACCACTACATATATTCTTAAAGTACATTCAACCATAGGTTTTCAATGGCAACTTGACATTTTAAAATAATTAAATGATTAAAATATTACCGATATTAAAAATATGTCCAGCATGCTGAGCTAATTTAGTGATTTTATAGTATTGCAGGAACAATAGAAATTGCTTTGGATGCTAATTAAGCTCCACATGTATTATGAGCAGAAGAAAAAGAATGCACAGCAATTGTAATTACTGCATTTTTTAAAATGTAAAGGTTCATCACATATCCTGAGAAGCACAATATTTTATTGCTGATCACATACCACTGTGAGATATTGTTTGTAGCTGATTTAATATACACAAGCGTTAGCATTTTCTATATGCAGCAGAGCACTTTTAAAAAATTTAAAAACCCAGTCTCACTACTAACACAATACCTTTTACAGTCCTCCAAGAGATAAATAGACATTAACTAACTGCTTGACAAGGGGCATGTAGTAAATAACACAGTCACAGAAGCATTTTTCACCGTCTTCATAACTGAGCACTCAGCTAATCTTGGACCAACAACTTCCAAGTTTGTCTACATCCCTCTTTTTTACAGGACTTTAAATATAAAATACTTTTAACTTAATAACCCCAGATGCTGCAAACTGAACCTGTCAGCATCCCAGCTGGGGTAGGAAAGTGGTGGTGCCGGGGGACTCCCACAGCTGAGGTGTGACCATCGGTACCTGGCAACTAGGGCTCTGGTTCCCCCCAGCCAGGGGAGAAAGACTTGAGTGGGCTGGGTAGTAAAACTGACAGATTAGTTGATAAAGGTTAGATAAATGAGTGTTTATGGAAAACACACAGCAAAAATAACTTGTTCTAAGCCACTATTTTTTTAGAGAGCTACCACTGCCTTCACAGGCAAACTCTTTCCTTTTAAAACAGGGAGGATAAAATAAATATTTTGGATAGTGATACAGAGCAAGTAGGCCTCCAACAATATTTATTGTGCTCATTTTTGTTTTCATGTTGAATAACTCTGTGATGTGCAACTCAGGCCACCAAGGGTAATTGGCTAGTTCCACACCCTTTGCTTTGGCTCAGTCCGTATGTTTCTCCTTGGTGTTTTGGGCTTTGCTGTTTATGGAAATGAGGCCTTGCATTTCAGCTGTGACCCAGATGACAGGGAGGTTAATCTTTTCTGTTACAACCAGTTCAGCCCTAAAATTCCTCAGGTAATTCTCTCTCTCTCTCTCTCTTTTTTTTTTTTTTTTTTTAATTGTAGAGATCCAATACTAAGACAATAAACTCCTAAAAATTAAACATAATTTTTCCATATAAGAAGCACTAACTGATTGGTCGAATTATCACTTAGCTTTTTAATGGATACTTTCCTTTCAATGACCTTGCATTTGTGACTAAATATGGAGTTGTACTTTCTGTCCTTCATAACAACAATCCAGACCTTTCAGAAAGCAAGTGAGCTTTTCCAGTTGAAACATAACAGTGATTTCTACTTTTACTGTGTCACCTATGTTCTTATACATTTGATTTTTTTAAAAAACAGGCTTGCAGATTATTCCAGCATGTGCCAACTTTAGCTATCCTAATGCAGTTTTAAATGACCTAACAATGTTTCTGCTACAGATTAGGTATTCTGGGCATTACAGCTGGTGATTGTAATGGCACCCAGAGCGTTTTTTCACCTTTATGCCACATGTAAGAGCATCAAACAGGAAAACATCCTCCAGAAGATGTTTTACACTATCTTTTATATCTTCTCTGTTTAGTTAAGGATTATTCTTGAAGTTGTGGCTTTTAGGCTTCAGATTCAACTTTTTGGTTTTGAAGTGAATGCAATATATATGTGTAATGTGGCAGCACTTGATAAAACATTTAACATTACTTCATGCATGGTGCCAGAGGGCATTGAAAATACAATTTTCCTTCCTGCTATATACACATTCACTGTGATTACATTGGTCTTGTGTGTTGCTGAATTTTTTGAGATCACATTTAGAATGCTATGTTTCATAAAAAGTCAGTGATGTCAATCATTTTTAGTCATTTATTACCCTGTCCACCTGCATATTTATAAAGGTCTAAAGCTATAACAAAAAAAAAATCTCCTGTCTTCTATGCAGCATTGCAGAAGAGAATCACACTCATGATTACTGCCAAAGAGAAGTCATCTAACACTTAATTCCAATCTAAAAGACACCTCATTATGTGAATAATTTTTGTTTCTATGTATAGGACAAAGGTAATAATAACATTCACACAAGTAATATGTTTATGACCTGCTGCCTGCAGTAATTCGTCTTCCAGAGGAATGTCTTTGTGATGAGGTTGTCAGCCTGACAGGAAAAGCTATTCCAAATTCCTTCCATGTTCATATGATTTGAGAATTAATCAGTAATATGGGATACTCTCTAAGTATCAGAAATTGTTCAAACATTTTTCCCAAGCAGCACCACTGTTGCAATCCACTGTGGTGACAACACATTCATTGGTATCAGCCTAGGGTGCAGCATTCCAGCTGTAGTCATCCGCTAGCTGTGAATATCCTTTTAGAAGTGAGAGACTGGCATGGTACTCTTCATGCTGATTTGAATGTCTTGCCTTCATTATCATTTGAATTTAAAATAAATTTTAGGGTTCCTTTGTTGTTTTTTGTTCGCTTTGTTCTGTTTTTTTTTTTGTTTGTTTGTTTGTTTTGTTTTTGTTTTTTTTTCTATGTGTGTGTGTAACTTGCTGGAACATATACTTATGGTTTAAGATGCAGTATTAAAGGGAAAAATGGAGCACTTTCACAAAGCATTTACCAATTTTGTACAATTACAATTTGAAGGAGTAAAGGGGTTTTATGATTTCATTTTGCACAAGAAGCTTAAAAGTGTGAAAAGAAAAAAAAAAAAAGTCTTTTTTTGGTGCAGTCATGATTTCAGTGAGAGGTTTGCCTGTGTATGACTGCAGAATTAGACCCATCAAATTTTCTGCAATGTCATATCTGACTAGCTATTGTTTTGACTAAGTTGCTAGTGTAACAATTAAAAAGAAGTCTGCATACAGAAATCATTCAATGAAATATGTGTATTTTTCTAGGTTTGGACAAGAACAAGATGTTTTCTTGTGCTACAGTTTCATTTTAAGGACTAATAGGTACCTCAGCTTAGAAGTAATTTCATTCCTTGTGCTGAAGTGAGGTCATGGAAAAAATCAGATTTGAGAAATGGAAAGGAGGAGATAGCTTCCTGCATAAAATATGGACAAATTACAGTCATAACAATCGGCTATTTTTCATTTGTTTTTCAAATACCCGCAATTTCCAAGAGGAAAAAAAAAAAAAAAAAAAAAAAAAAAAAAAAAAAACAGAAAATCTCCTCTTCTTTGCTAATAATTTTCTGCAACTGAACAATTTTGTTCTGAATCTCAATATGCCAAGAGACTCAGACATAGAATCACAGAATGGCTGGTTTTGATGGGACCTTTGGAGGCCATCTGTTCCAATCCTCTGCTCAAGATGAGATACTCAGACCAGGCTGCCCATTGTACTAGTGTTCATCCAACTGCACAGTAACGTGCTTCCTGATGTTCATACAGAACCTCCAGTTTGTGCTCATTGCCTCTTTTCCTGTCACTGGACAACACTGAGGAGAGCCTGGATCCATCTTCCTTGCATCCTCCCTTCAAGTATTATACACATTGATAAGATCCCCCCTGAGCCTCCTCTTCTCCAGGCTGAAAAGACCCAGCTCCCTCAGCTTCTCCTCATACGAGAGGGGCTCCAGCCCCCTGATCATCTTGGTGAGTCTGTGTTGAACCCTTTCCAGTACATTCAGGTCTCTCTTGTACCTGCATGGGGGGCAGAACTGGATACAGTACTCCAGGTGCGGCCTCAACAATGCTGAGAAGAAAGGAAGGATCACCTCCTTTGACCTGCTGACAATACTTTGCCTAATACAGCCAAGAATACTGTTAGCCTTCTTAGCAGCAAGGGCACTCAAGTTCAACTTGATATTTGCCAGGACTCCAAGGTCCTTTTTTGCAGAGCTGCTGTCCAGCTGAGTGGTCCCCAATGTGTACTGGTGCCTGGGATTGTTCCTCACCCAAGGGCATTCCTCCCCCAGATGCACTGAGCAGTGACTCTTTGTCACTACTTAACAAAGATTTGGGAACTGTTATAAATTAGACCACACAATTTTCTGGTCTATTGAAATTATTTTATTAATCAAGTAAGCAGACACAAGCAGAACAGCGCTGGGCGGCTGGGGAGTCTCCACTCCATAACTGCACGCAACTTCCCTTTCCAGGGTTGCTGTTTTATAGCAGTCGAGTTCTGGCTTGTCGGGCCTTGTTGAACTGGCTGAGGCTGCGCAGTCTATTGTTGAGAGGGGGGTCGACAGGATGTCTTGTGGTAAGGGATTTCACAGAGTCTTGTTTCACTCAAGGATGTTTACCCAACACCCCCTCCTGCTATCTGCTTGCTTAATCCATCCCCTTATCAAGGCCGTTAAATTGTGCAACCTTATCCCCTCAGCAGATTCTCCAAATTCCTCAAAAACAATGAACAAACCCCCACTAATTTATCACAGGAACCAGCAAAGTCAAACAGAATCCATTAGTGTCTTTCAGCACAGTCTGAGGCCTGTAACACTGAAGGAAATAAGAACAGCATTACTTCCTGAATTAAGTGTAGCTTTGGGAAGGGAGGGGGAGGGAAAGGAAAGGGAAAGAAAAGGAAAAGGGAATGGAAAGGGAAAGGTAAAAGGGAAAAGGAAACTAAAATGTGAAATGGAAACGGAAAGAAGCATTTAAGATGCTTTCATCCAGTAGAAAAGCAGATGAAGTTGAGATCCTGCTGAGAGGAAGGGTCCTTTTAGGAATATTTGAAAAATTCTAGAAAATTTACAAGAAAACCTTTTAGCACCAGCTGTTAGTTAAGCAGTCTCAAACAAGGCTGGGTTATAAGTGCTTTGTAATCCTCACCCACAAAAGTAGTCCTCCTTATGTAAATGGAATTGCATGATTTAGATTTCTAGGAATTGATTGCTTCTGTGCCATGGACATTGAAATAGCTCACAACTAGCTCTGTCTTTTTTTAATATGTTTGTCAAGAACAAGATACCTTTCAGTACTTTCACTGTATTAGAGCATTAATGTTGTGACATTTTTCCCTGTGGAAATAAGTTATATGTTGTCTTAAATATATGTGCAGACAACACTATCAAATCTTTGCAATGATAAACTAGTTATTTGTATTTGATATTTATAAGTATTGCAAGTGGAATAACAATCACTGTGCTAACTTCTTATTTGCATAATATGTCATGTGCTTTGGTCAATACATTTAATTTTTTGTTGTATACATTGGTATCCATCTGGAGTTACTTTTTGCAATTTAAACTTTTAATTTCAGTTAAAAAAAAAAAAAACTTTATACTTATAAATAAAACACCATGTATACATATAACATATGTATACATATACATATATAACACCATCTACTAAAAAGAATAATTACTTCTATGTTTTAAGTACAGTGGCAAAATATTGTACTCAAATCACACTTAATCAGACTTTCATTCAATAAGAAAGTAGCTTTATCACCACCCCATCATTATTTTTCCTAGTACTTCATATTTCCATTGCTTGTTGTTCTTCTGCAGATTTCAAAATATTTCAGAAAGGTTAGAAGAGTGTCAAAGTCCCCAGCCCCTCCGGGAACTTTCCTGTTACTTCCAGGAGCATTGCAGAGCCAGGACTGGCACAGGACTGCCTGAGGTCCCTTTGGGTGTGTCTAGCAACTGGACTACCCATCACCATGCCCTTTCCTTTAGTGGTCAAAGTCTGGAAATTTTCAAAATCTGTTCTTGTTCAAAATCAGACCAGATGTAGATTTTTTCTACATTTCCAGTAAAATGAAAATTCCTCAGTTTTTCACTGGCAAACAAAATGTGCATTGTTGCCTTTTAGTGCAAACGTTTTTCTGTTACTGATTCCATCATTAGTTTCTTGAACAAATAGATTGTGATTTTACATCCATGTAAAGAAACCTTTTCCCCACGGCTGTCAAAACTTCTCTTTCCTATATTTGTCATCTGTTTTCCTAACATTTAACATATCCTTAAGTGCCTCTCAACTTTTCTTTCTTCCGTTCTTCCCAATTCCCATCACTTTTGTCATCATTTATGTTGCTTTCTATCAGCTTCCCTCCACCTTCACACCCTCTGAGATTTATAGCATGCCTGTGCTTATTTCTCAATGTTGTGCTGATTTTACTTCAAATGCTTAGCAGTTGTTTGAGATGATCTTGGAGGCTTTTATTCTCATTATGAAAGGAATTACATAATAAACTTGGGGATTCTTTGGTTCAGTTCTACTTTTTTACAGAATTAACATACAGTCCTGCCTCCCGGAACGCAATACAAAGTATTTTTGTGGCTTACATCAAGCACACATTTTAAGTGCTTCTTTGACTTTTTCATTGCTTTCCACCCTACTCTAGCTGCCTCGTTTTCTCAGACAGCGCTCAAAGTAATCCCCAGCTCATGCGTTTGCAAGTCAGATTTGTCTCTAGCCAGACATCACACCCATTTCAGCTCTCTCTTAACAAACAGCCGTAATTGTTCCCTCCATGATCTTCAGCGAAACAAGCTCAATACACCCATCAAGTGACGTGGCTGCCTTTACATCAAAGGCATAGCTGCTTTGGGCCAGCTGGCTTCTACACCACCACAACATCCCAGTCCTATAACCACTCGCTGTTCTCTTGGTTTCTTTGTCTTCCTTTCTTCTGCCCAGCCATCGTTTCCCTTCCAGTCTCCCCTCGGCACTCTCCCAGGACAGCCATGAGACAACGCCGCCATCTCTCCTGCCCCGTGGCTCCCTCCAACACGCAGCTTTCTTTACGCTCTGGAGCATTGACATCCTCCTGCCTCGCAGACAGCCATTTGGAGCCCAGGGGAAGCTCGGCACCAGAGCTATTTAAAACAAATAATAAAAAAAAAAAAACATTTCACCACACCGCCAGAAGACAGCAGGTGCG